TCCTGTAGAATGAGCCCTGGCATTTTTACTGTGATTGCCTGTTTTTCTGTAAAATCACAGAAAAAGAGAGATGCTCGGGTCGAGCAGGCTGCTTCATGCGCGTTCACGCTCAGGCATCGCCCGTAGCATTTGCTATCCGTAGCTTTAGCAGCAGAGAGAGAGGCAGTGCCACTTTGTCGCTGTTCCTAACGCCTAGTGACAAAGCTAGCTACATTTCTGAGGACCCTTAGCTACTTTCTGTAGAACTTTCTTCTAGATATTTCCTGCAAATTAGCAACAAAATAGCCATTTTCACTCCGAACCGTTCTTTGGTTTGACGTTGTTTCAGCTGTCATCAAGGATATAAAAGTTACAGATACAAAAGATGTCACTGGTGCTTTAGCTCACCTAGTATGATGTCTGACTCCTGTGCAGAAGACCTGGGTTTGATTCTGGGTGTGAACATAGTTTATTTAGAGTTTATTTTTACATTAATGGTATTTTTTTTTTTACAGTAAGATGCCCAAATTTTAATTTGAGACTCGCCGAACGGCATTGAATTCACAGATAAAAAAGATGTGGGTTCAACTTTCATTTTGGAACAATTTTTCAAGCAAGGGAAGGGAATGATCTGAGCATGCAGGAGGAGTGACCCATCATAAACCTTTGTCGGCTGTGCTGAAGAGAAAGGTACAGAACCACATTATTTAATTAATTAGCTGCACGTTCTCCTGAGTGTGCACGTACAGCATGCGCACCTCGTGCACGAGCCTACTATTGAAGCTGCCGTTACGCTTTTGGCCTGAGGGGGCAATCGCGAGCACAAAAATTCAAAACTCCGTAAAGTCCCTTTAATACCTTAATGTTAATATGATTTACATTTAAAAAAAGGCAAAACAGAAAATTTCTCATGGCCTATTTTTGTCTCGGCATTGACAAAGATCTCAGGTTGCTCAACTGTAACGGTTATCCTGTTCATGTGGAAGGAAAACTGTTGAAGATCTAACCTAAGGCCACATTTTCACAGAGAAAATATCACAATCAAAACAAATCCTCACAGTTTAAGATTTTAATCCAGCAAAACTCAGACGCAGCGTCGATAAAGAGACGTTTAAATGAGGTTCAAATCAGTTAGTTAACTGTTGCATAATTACAAGGATTTCTCGGTTGCTTTGGAGAATGTTCCTTCTCTCATGGAAGCGTTCTGAATCTGGATGATTGCTGCTTGTGTCTGATTAGCTGATGCATGCATAGAACCCTATGTGGAAACCCAGCAGGGGAAAGTCGAACTCTGCCGAGCGACAAGATGACGCAGACATGAAAACGCACTCCAAAAGGTCCAACAACATCTTCGACACAAAGAACCAGGTGATCGTCACTAACCTATCAGCGGCACCGCCAGAGAGGTGGGTGGGACTATTTTGGATATCAGCAACAGGAAGACGGTGAGCGCCAGCAGAACGGAGATGCACAGCGTCATCTTCTCTCTGCAGTCCGACGGCAGGTAAAACACCAGGATGGCCAACGAGGTGATGAGAACACAAGGGATGATCATGTTGATGGTATAAAACAGAGGCTTCCTCTGGATGACGAAGTCGTAGGTGATGTCCAGGTAGGTGATGTCGTTGGGGTCTTCGTTTTTGCGCGCCGGCAGCGAGACGATGTCCCACTCTCCGCTTGGTGTGAAGTCATCCCGGCTGGCATAGTCGCTGGTCAGGATGAGGTCTACCTCCGTGTGGTCGTAGGTCCAGGACCGGAACTTCAGGGTGCAGTTTTGCTGGTCGAAAGGGAAGTTCTGGACCTCGATGGCGCAGGCGGACTTGTAGATCGCTGGGGGGAGCCAGAAGATGTCTCCAGTGCTGGAGACCACTGCGTTGCAGTAAAAGGAAACCTCGTAGACGCCGTCAGCGCTAGGAGAAAACAAAAATGATTTCTGTCCTGGCTTTGAAGGTGATTATCAGTAACAGCTTTCTTTAGGTACTTCCAGCATCGTCCCCTTTTAGGACCCGAGATACTCACTTGTTGTAAAGCACGATGTCGGGAAGCCAGATCAGTTTGGACGGGATTCGTAGTTTCTTGATGCCTCCGTATTTGGCTGGGTCCCATCTCAGCCTGTAGTCGTTCCATTCCTGCAGACAGCGTTCCGAAGGCTCCGTGATGGGATTCCGAACATACGCAGAACTTGATAAAGGAAAGCACAGTACCTGAAACAGCCACACGTTGGTGGTCATGATCTGTTCTCTCTCATTCTGCAAGAAAAAGAAATGGGCTTTTAAGACACTGGCTCCTGTTATATTTCACTTTAGTGATGATTATTTTACTTAATTAGCTTAAAATGGAAAAAGATTGGAATTAGGAGCCAAACCGGTACATAAACTATTGAAATGCTCAGGAAGTTTATGGATTATGACGCGTTCATTTGACTGCTCCTGCTCTGTCCTGGTTTGAGGTTAAAGTCTCTCGTCAGTTGGCGTCCACTCAGGAGGACTCATGTCCATCACCGGGACAACTCAAGGAGGCAGAGAAAGAGATTCAGACATCCTCACACCTAAAGGGTTTTCTACGATTCTGACGTTATGAAGCGTTCTTCTGAAACTTTTAAATGTTTTCTCTGAGGAACCCAGTTTTCATGAGGCGGGTGCTTCGTTTCCTGACCTGCAGGGCAGGTGAGTTGATGAAGGACTGAATGGATTTTATGTTCTGCAAACCCACACAGCTGCTTTAAGTCTCTGTGCCTCATTAGCTGCTTCACATTTTTTCTGCACTGTGGACAGAAAACAGCTTCTTCAATTAAAAGAATGCCACTGACCAAATTGTTTCAGTGGTTTATCGAGGTCCTTGTGCAACATTTATAGTAAACATCTAAATAAACAAGCACAAAAAATCGTATTACAAATTTCCCTTCAATTAATAAACCAACGAGATGCTCAGATTGCTCAGCTCTCTTGTAAAACACTCAGAACATGTCTTCTCGTGTTTAAACTGGGACTCGATTGAAAAATTAATCGAATTAATCAGAGGATTTGTAATTAATGTATCTTGATTAATCACACCTTCAAGACAATTTCACACCAAGCAACTCTTTTAATTAAACATAGTGTTAGTGAGGCACCAATGACACACCCACATTTAAATGAGTATAAATATTTTACTCTGATTACTTTGGTCTCATTACAAAGACGAGCACTGTGTGATTTGTTGAGACGTGTAAATATTAGTACATGTGATGAAATGTAAATAGACATAGAACACTGTAAATGTTGTATACTGAACTGAACACTAGGTGGCAGCAGAGCACTGCTAATCTAAATAGAGGTGTAGCGCAGAGTTCAGAGGGAGTTGTGCTGAGAGGAACGTTCTACCAACTAAAAAACATAACAGAAAGTTTATTTCTCTGTCTGTTCTTCATGAAGAGTGATTTGTCATGATTCATTTAATTTTAGATTAATTTGTTTTTAGAGGTGCAGCTTGATTATTTATATATATATATATATTTATTTATTTATGTATGTATGTATATAATATATATTTATTTATATATATATATATATATATATATATATATATATATATATATATATGTATGTATGTATGTATGTATGTATATATATATATGTGTATGTATATATATATATATATATATGTATGTATGTATGTATGTATGTATATATATATTTATGTATGTATGTATGTATATATATATTTATGTATGTATGTCTGTATATATATATTTATGTATGTATGTCTGTATATATATATATATATATATATATATATATATATGTATGTATGTCTGTATGTATATATATATTTATGTATGTATGTCTGTATATATATAGTATATATATGTATGTATATATATACATACATATATATATATATATGTATGTATATATATATATATGTATGTATATATATATTATATATATATGTATCTATATATATACATACATACATACATACATACATACATACATATATATATATATATATATGTATGTATGTATGTATGTATATATATATATATATATATATATATATATATATGTATGTATGTCTGTATGTATATATATATTTATGTATGTATGTCTGTATATATATAGTATATATATGTATGTATATATATACATACATATATATATATATATGTATGTATATATATATATATGTATGTATATATATATTATATATATATGTATCTATATATATACATACATACATACATACATACATACATACATATATATATATATATATATATATATATATATATATATATATATATATATATATATATATACACACACATATATATTCATACATAAATATTTTTCCATGTTTTCTTTCTAATTAAATAATTAACACATTTAATTCCCACCCCTAGTTTAGTTTAAATGTGTCTGAAATTGACTCTTCTGTTCCTAAATTAACAGAGTTCCTGTCTGGAGTTTCAACTCCTTCCCTCCTAAAATCTGCTCTTGCTGATCTTTCCTGTTCTCTTTGACTGAAGCGATATGATCCCACCCAAAGTCCCCGAGCCAATAGGAGGCCAGATACGATGCCGACTGCTAACCCCAACCACACCCTTCAAACCCTCTTATGTTCTCCTACTATTAGTGATGGGCCCACCAACCGAGGATCTTGCTGAAATCATAAAGATTTGATCATATTTTGTCTTATTTTTCACACCATTTATCCTTTGACCTGAGGAACGCAGCTTCATTCTTTCATGTTCCAAGTGAGAAAGACAGAAAGGTGCTTTCTGGTGTATTTGAACCACTTTTAATTAAGATGCCATGTGATGAAGTGACTGAATCGCTTGTGCAGAATGAACCAGACGTCAGGGTTAAAGGTCGTGGTGTGTGAAATACTCACGACGCTGATGAGCTGAGACAGAGACACCTGTATGGAGATGGTGACCTGTTGGCTCTTATTGACGGCTGGTCGGATCAGTTTGTTGTAGCGCTCCGGTCCCAGCAGGAAGTTCACCAGCCGCTCTTCTGCATTCCCTGCTCCTCCATCTAAAGATCAAACACAGAGGATAAAATCATTCCCCGTGAACGTCCCTTTGAAGGAAAACTCACAATAATAACATCAGAGCTTCGCTATCATCATAAAGAAACGTCAAAACGTGTTCGTCCCGAGGCAAGAGCTCTTCCAGGAAGCCGAGTGTGTCTAATCTGAGTTCTAACCCCCCACTGTGTGGATGTGTGTGTGTGTGTGTGTGTGTGCGTGTGTGCGTGCGTGTGTGTGTGTGTGTGTGTGTGTGTGTGTGTGTGTGTGTGTGTGCGTGTGTGTACAGAACTTTTACCCGGGGCATTAAGGCTTCATCCTGCTCTCATTAGAAGCCGTTCGGGTTTGCCGGCTGAAGGATGAGCAGAATTCCCGTCACGCATCCAGTGAGACGTTCCCGTCTCGTTTCCACTCTTTGAAATTATTGGTTGGTTGAATAAGATGGAAGCAGAACCCGTTCTGACGTCTCTCTCGATGTTTGCCATCGTTGCGTCTACATTGTCAGACAAACTGCCAGCAGCAGGGTGGGCATTAAATATCCAGATGCTCTTCCCGCTCTGTGCCATTGTCCCCTTTCTGTTGGTGTTTTCAGCAGATGCACCCTGCTGCTACAGTCTCTGTCTCGTCTTTTGTTAAAACTAAATGAAATAAATTCATTCAAACATTTATTTGAACAAGAAATGACAGATAAGGAATGTTTGTGAAAGAAAAGATGGTTAAACTGAACGTCTCATTAAAAGTTACTTCAGCAAAGCTCAGAGTGAGAAGGTCGTAAACAGCCGGAGAAGTAGCTTCTACACGGCAAAAGGAGAAAACTCCTTCCTTTGTTCCTCCAGCTGATCCAGAACGCTGCTGCCAAAGTTCTGGTGAGAGTTCGGAGGTTTTGGAATCACTTCACCGGCTCCCTGTCCAATCCAGAACTTTAGAAGTTTGCTTCTTGTTAAAGAAGCTCATAGAGGTCATCCTTAATGTCGCCTCCAGAAATGGTCAGTTTTCATCTGCAGTGTGACCTCTCCAGTCAGGGGCGCAGATTGGATTTTCAAACTGGGGGGGGGGGGTTCCAATGTACCCTCCCCCAAACACACACACACACACACACACACACACACACAGTGTTGGTGAGTGGCTGCGTCTGACTGCTGACCCTCTGTCTCCGTGTGTGTTTTTATTTCTGCAGTGAGACAAACTCACCTCACACCGTCCAGAGTTTGTTCTTTAAGCTTCGGTTAAACCCACCGTGTTGACGTATTTAACACGTTTCCTCTACGCTGCAGGAGTTAAAGTTTATATTACGGAGTAAAAGTTCGGCAGACGCCTTTGTTTATATCTGGGCGGGCGGCGGGGGGGGGGGGGGGGGGTCGGTGCTGCACACAGACAGCTGCTGTGATCAGCTCTGAAAAGTGTTGATCACAATTTGCAGATCACGTTTATTTTTCACGGAGATCGGCCGCGGATTCCACTTCCGGTTGGCATTCTAGGAATCGAAATAAAAAACTTTGAACGATTCCGGGAAAAACTAACAGTTGGAACCGATTCCCAACCCTATTCACTTATCACTTAGAGCAGTGGTTTCCAAACTTTTCAATCAATCAATCAATCAAAGCTTTATTTATAAAGCACCTTCCGCAACCCTGTCAGGAAGCCCAAGGCGCTAAACATGGAACAGTACAAAGTTAAAGAAAGTGAATAAATCAGAAAATAAAAGCAATTCAAATTACAAAAAAGGTGAAACATTCTAGTAGAAGACAAATGTGTAAAACAAGGGAAAAAGTGAACCAATGAAAACTGTGAGATAAACTCTACGTAAAAGAGGGCCAAATTCAAACATATTCAGGAAACGCCAAGCGGAGGAGGTGGGTTTTTAGGCGACTCTTGAAGACTGGCAGAGATGGGGGACAGCCTAACTGAGGGTGGCAACTGGTTCCATAATGACGGTGCTGGGACTGAGAAAGCCCGGTCCCCGCGAGTACGACACCTAGAACGAGGGACAACGAGCAGGCCTTGGTCTGAGGAGTGCAGAGCGCGTGATGGGGAGTGTCTGTTCAGGAGCGTGGCTAGATGGGGGGGAGCACCACCCTGGAAGAAATTAAAAACAAACTTTTCAGCCTGACCAACAGATGTTCCTTTGTATTTTTACGTTATTTAGAAATTTTCATTATATTTGGAAAGTTTTTATTTATATATAAATATATAAAGCTCTTTTTAAATTTTATATTTTACCTATTTTTTATGATTATGTGGCACACTTGACTTCCATAAAGAACGCATCGGCATCTGCCTCTTTTTTACGGCTTTTTTTTTACATTGTCGCTACGTCTGTCACGTTAGCGGTGTTTTACCATCGTTTCTACATCCACCACGTCCCAGAGAAGGTTAAACCAACATCAAATCCAACGTTTGGAGCTTGTAAACTCCACACACCTCTCGTGCAGCACCAGCTGTCTGATGCTGCAGCAGCGTCCATCGTCCCGGCTGGATGAGTGAATTTCTTCATCAGAGTCAATATTCAGTCATGACCAGACAAAACCCTAACCCTAACCAGACAAAGTGATCAGTCAACAAAGACCAGACCTGCCGGCAATTATACGTTTTATCTCATATTTGTGCTCTTCGTGCTGCACGCATCTCCTCCTCTCCCCGACTGGGAGCCTCTCGGCGGGAGGCGATTTTCAAACTCTAAAAACTCCCAAACTTTGCTCATCCTGAAGGTTCCACATCTCCACTATCTTCTGGTGTAAAGTAGTAACTTCATGAGGATCATGTTTGTAGATGAGACTTGTTAAAGTCAGCAATGAGGCTTTGGCGCTTTTAACGAGTAAGTCCCAACACCGACAACAACGTACTGAAACTAGAACCAACATGCATAAACAGACAGATCGGTCCCGCCTACTTACACTGTTGGTCCTTTTTAAATACGCAGTAATCGTTGATGGCCTTTTTCACTTCATCCTGCATCCTAGCAGCAACCATTTTGGCGCCTCTGGAGTCGGTGTTTGTTTACGTCATGCTGCATTCAATGTAATTGGAAAAAGGAGCTTCAAGCGCTTAACCTCCGATTTTGTTTTCTTTCTGGCCTTAGTGCGGGGGACGGATCGGGGTCGATCTGAATCTGGGGGGGACAGACCCCCCCCGTCTCCCACCCTAACTGCGCGCCTGCCTCCAGTATCTGGTCACATGGAGACATAAGTCTTAACGGGTGCCTTTAATCTGCAAGAAAGATGTTATCTTACAGAGTAGGAAGTGACGCCGCCATCAGCGTCAGCTCTGAGGATGTGTTGCAGTCGGCAAACGAAACGTTAGCAAGGTAAAGAAAAACCTTTCCCGTGTTTTAAAAAGAACCAGAAACTGTTGCTTGACCAAGGTCTCTCTCCAGCTTCCTCTTATCTAAGACTGCTTTGCTTCACAGAACAAGGATAAATGTTCATAATTAGATCATATAATGAAATGAACTTTTATAAGAATGAACCGTTATAAATAATGAAATGTTAAAATAATGATGAAATGGAATGAACAATATGGTTAAAGGACATTTTTTGATTAATCTGTGCTTAGATTCATGAGGATGAAATGAAATATATGACCCATATATTTAATCAGCGTACTGACTGGACAAGACACACTCGCCATATCTCCATGACGCAAGTTAAGTTAACGTCACTGCACATAGATATTTTCTTATCCACAAAGCCAGCATCTTCATATCTGAGGGAGGCGTGTATCTGAGGTTTGTTGGCAAAACTCATTTTCATGGCAAGTTCTGATTAGTCAGTAAACCAAGATATGGCCGTTATTAAAACAGAATCACTTCCTGCGTGATTCTGTTGAGCTGAACTCTGACTGGCCATCAGAGGGAGCCTCTGCTCCCATCGCATCTTTTCACAAGCTGTCAAAACCTGTTGCACGCTACAGCTGACCACAAACGGTTCCTTCAGAACAAAGCTGAACCAGCTCTGACTCCGTAAGAGTCCTTCCACAGACGCAAATAACCACCTGTCGTAACCTGGAGCAGGGGCGTAGCACCAAATTCTGGGCCCTAGGTACAAGTCTTCTAGGTCGGCCCCCATGCTCAATTACTTAATATCTCTCTTACACATTTTTTTGCCATGCTAGAAGACAAGATAATAAATATGATCTTAGTTTAACCTCTATATTGAGCAAATACAAATGCCAGCATAATAAAAGTGAAATGCCCAGACTTCACATATAATTATTTTTATTTGCCAACAATGTGTTCAAACAACAATCCTGGAATTTATTTTCCAGTAAATGCCCACTGACGGGTCTTCATGTTAGCAAAATCACTTATGAGATCTTTAAAGTCCAATCCTTTGGCTAATTGGCTTTCAATAGAAAGAAGAGCTAGGCTGTTCAGTCTATCCTGGGACATTGTTGATCTCAAATAATTTTTCACCAGTTTCAGTTTGCTAAAAGCCCGTTCACCCCCAGCAACAGTCACAGGTGGTGTGCAAAATATCCTCAGTCCAATACAAACTTCTCCAAAAATGCTCTGTAATTGCTTCCTGTAGATGGCATTAAGCAGCTCAAGAGGAGACCGAATGTGTGGAAATGTGGCACCATATATTGTTCTCAGGTGTAGCATCTCATTCTCAAATTCAGCTGTGAGATCCTTGTAATATTTTCTCATCAGTGCCTGGCATGATGTCTTCATCTGCTCTTCAGTCATGTCTGTCATGGTTCCTGATGTTAAGCTTTGCTAATACTGATATATATTGATATATTAAATACATATGACATGAAATAAACCAGGTTCTCTCTGTGAATGTAATGCACTCTAAATTTTATAATCCCTGCATTATCAGCCAAATTATAAGATTGTCCGTTTTCAAGATCAAATATAAAGAAATTTAAAATAGGCTTAAAATATCTAACCAAGTCAATAACAATCCTCTAACACCAGTGTCATCATGCTATACGAAAAACAGTGGCAGCTTCTCATTCCTGAGATTACCACGAATCCATCGATACCAAGTTTGTCCTGGTCCATGAC